ACATTTATAATAGTTTTATAATAAATATTATATATATAATATTTATCACTATTATCAGTATTATTCTGATAATAGATCATACACAGTAGGGGTCTGAAGGTCAATGGCTGCCACAGCAAGCCTTGATTGATGTTCAGAGTTTTGTGTGTATGTTTTTTTAATCACTAGAAAAATCAATATTCAAGTGAAATGAGGATGGTTCAGAGAGACCACCTCTCCGAGCTGTCTCAGCCTGGTGCTTCATCGGTCACAAGTTCTGTGAATGTAGACTTCCTGAAGTCTTGGCCCCCTCATCTGTAAGAGCTGGCTGGCGGATGGGAAGCACCTATGGAATTGTACACACCACCATTGTTATTATGAATAATGCAGCACTGTGTTGAGCTGGCCCTTCTCTTGTCTTCGTTTGCATGATGACCTGCCAGAATCCAAAGGTCCTTACACATTGTATATTATTTTATTTATTTTTACCTCAAACACCCCTTGGCAATCTGACAAAGCCTAGAGTTCCTTTCTCAGAATATTTAAAAATGCCTACTGTAAAATGAATAGGATTACAAAGGAAACCAATAGCATAAAATTCTCCAAATATTAAAACAAATTTATAATCAGGTAGTCCATGTGCTTTACATAGAATCTTGCAGCAGATCTAATAACAAGCTTCATTTAAGAGTGGAGAGTCTGTTGACAACTTTCATGTAAAATTAAAATATCTTCTTTCTATTGGTGGCACAGTCACAGGTTGTCTATATTCATAATTGAAGGAAGACACACATTTAGTTTGAGGTTAGGGGAAAGATTCCAAGTTCACAGAGCCTCTAAATTTTGTGTGAACCAGCTCAGGAACTCCTGTTTCACCTGCTCTCCCAATATGTACCCACAGGGGCCAAACTCATCTTTTCTTTCTTTAATTTGTAAAATCTGGACATGGATGGAACTGCCTTGGATTTGGGGGAGGGGATTTTCTTTTTTGAGGGGGGAGGAATTTTTTCATTTATAAGTGACGTGCCAGTTAGCAACAGGCCCTTGAATAAAAATATAATCCATAAAAAAATTGTGGCTGTGATAAGATTATAACTCAAGAATGATTTCATACCAGGAAATACATTTAGAAAGATGTTCCTCTTTCCATCACTGCATTCTAGTGCTGGGCCATGGATATTCTGGAAGAGGCTGAATGGTTCCAACATTCATGAACCTTAGTAGAGTTAATTAGGGAACAGACCAATTAGTACATTTTATCCCTTTCTTCAAGTTTTAACCAAATCAGTGGCGTCACAGCAACACTCACCGAGGAACTTCTCTGGCGGGAGTGGGGGTGGTCCCTGGACCACCTCACCCAGCATCCCCTGGGAGACTTGTGAATGACCAGATCTGATGAACTAAGTTGATGTGGGTGGTGCCCATGGATCTGCACTTCATAGGCCACTAGGTAACCAAAACAGGAGAACCCTCTTGGAAGAAACGTCACTGTGTGTTTCATATTTAATAAGTGAATCGTAGACTCTGGAGACAGAATGAAGCATGGACAGGTCTTGGGCTTTCCCCCATGGCTTGACACTTGAACTTGGGATAGCCATAAAGGCTGGAGGCCTCACCCAGGACTGATTCTCATTTCCCTGTCACCTCCAGAGCATGACAGGTGATCCTCTGAGAACACCAAACCGTTCTGGGGGTGCGGGTCTCTGCTGGTGTGGTTGAGCTGTCTTTATGAAGACCTTTGGTTCCACTCATGGATTCCATCTCTCATTTTTTTTTTTTTTTTTTTTTGGTAACTCAAAAAGAATGATTTCATACCAGGGAGCTTGTTATTAGATTTACCAGTGAGCAACATCCCCAGTCATTTCTATTATTTATCTTGAGACAGGGTCCAAATTGCTTAGAGCCTTGATAAGTTGCTGGCTGGCCTCAAACCAGTGATCCTCCTGCCTCAGCCTCCCAAGTCACTGGAATTACAGGTGTGCGCCACCGCATCCGACTGGACCCCATCTCTTGTGCAAAGTCCTCCTGGAAGGACTGAGGCTGCTGCCCCTCCCTGTTGCCTTTCTGTGAAAGCATGTGAGGCCTTGCAGCCGGCTCCAAAGGCAGAGGAACAACCTGAATTATCTGCAGTCAGTGCCTCTGGTTCTCAGCCAATGGTCCAGGTCTTGCTTATGTTAAAACACTGCCTCCTCTGGATGTGGTGGTTGGCTTCAGCCACATGGACACTGCTGTTTTCCTTCTGTTCCCTTCCTCTGGGAGGAAAGATGGCTTTGGCTAACCTAGCCTTCTGGGTCCTGCTTCCGAGCCTCTGGGGAAGGCCTTTTCTGTGTTCCCTTTTCTCATCAATTCTTTGTTCTCCTATCATTTTACGCCTCTCCCTTCTTACCAGCTGTCCTTTCTTATGCCTGCAGAAGACACACATGATCCACTGACCTGGAAGGTGTTCTGGCCTTTAAGGGACGATTTCCTTCTCTCCCACAGCTCAGCTGGAGTCAGCCTGGGGAGCAGAAAGCTGGGGAGGCCCCCGTGGAATCAATCACCCCTGATTCTACGGACCCACAGGCCCGAAGCTGAATGGGTCTGGGGATGAGGCCTTCCTATTTGCGTCTTAGGCCGGGCCTGTCTCATCTGTGGTTTTTTTCACTAAGAAGGCATAACACACCACAGGCCTCAGGTAAGCGCTGAGGTCACCGGAGTGCAGAGGGCCCAGAAAGTGTGAGGACAACACACCAGTCTGTCCTCCCGCAGAGCTCAGGGGATGGGAAGGGGGCCCACATCAAAGCCTGGGGCTGGTGATCATGCTGCTGACTTCGCCACCTTTCGTCAGAAGCTGGGGAGTGTGGGGAAAGCCAAAGGCTGCCCTTTCTCTCAACCCTAACCCACTTCGAACACCTTTCGTACTAGCTATGTTTCCTCTGGCTTTTAATGGCTTCAGCTTCAACTGTGCCTTTAAAAAACATATCCATTTTCTTAACTTGGGGGGCAGGTTTTGTCTATTTGCATTTCAGATGTGTGTGGGTTGCCAGAGGAGATTTTTCCCACGCATCTTCAAACCGAAAGGGCTGACCTCGCCACCCGGGCCTTTCTGAGTCACTGGGGTCTTCAGGTCCTCAGCACCTGTGGGCGGCTGTGGCTGGGAGAGGTGGTGACCTCTCTATGCCAGGGAGTCTCTGGACACTGACTTGGGCTGACATTACCTGGAGTCAGATGTGAGGCCATCTTAGGGTGAAGAGGGAATGGGGGGCTCTGACCTGGGGTCCCCGGATCCCACCTCAGATGTAGCACAGACATCGTGTCTCAGTTGACCTCATAATAACCCACAGGCCATGTGGCTGCTAAGCCTCCAGAGGAACAGCTGGGTTAGCAAAGAAATCTGGCTGTGTGGTTTAGGGGCAATTAGGTAAACCAACTTCCCATCACTTCACCTGTCACTAGACAGAGGTGGGGCTGGAGGGCATCTTTAACATGAGGACGAAGGGACCAGCTCACATCCAGGCTCCCCACAGCTTGCAGGCCTGCCTTCTCTGCCTGGGGAGTGCTTGAGGAGTCTCTGTCCCTGGCAGAATTGTCCAGCCAATGGAACTGCTGATGACCTTTCAGCTGACCCTGGCATTAGGACTGACCAGGGTCTTGACTGTTTTGAGCCCTTTGTGTCTGGCACATTGCTCTATGCTCCGGAGATTGGGGGAGAAGATGATGAAGGAGATCTAGCCCTTTGCCCTCGAAGGGGAACCAGAGTTAAAGAAAACGTGATTAAAGAAGCAGCCATGAGAAAATCTGGGGGCAGGGGGAGGAGTGGAGGAGGAAGAGGGGTGCTGGGAGGTGTCCTTTGAGCCCTTGGTCACCCCACATGTGGAGTTGTGACTGATTAAACTGCGAGCTCAACATGCCCCTCTGGAAGCTCCTTGCTGCCCTGGCGAGGGCAGGGGGGGGGGCAGTAGGGCTCACCCCCTTTCTCTTCCGGTTGCCAGCACCACCCATCAGCTAATTCGTGGTTTTAGGCCATCTGTCATTTTTGTCCCCCACTCCATTACTCTAGCCAATAAGAAGTTGATTCTTTGCTCAAAGTGCTGAGTGCCGTGGAAAGCGGGGGCCATGGGACTGGGGTAGAACCTCAGCTGGCAGAGGGGGCGGCCTGGAAGACACATCTGCTTCAGTGGGTCTGACTACTACCAACCTCTTGGTGAACCAGGAAGTATACAAATGCCAGGCCACAAGGCGGCTGCTGAACTCTACCTGCAGGCTAGAGCCCTTTTGTAAAGTCACTATAAAAGGTATAATAATAATAATAATAATAATAATAACAACAACAACAACAATAGCAAAGGGATCAGGAGTAGAGCGTGTAGACTGGGAAAGGGGGAGGGGAGAGAAAGGGAAGGTCCTGGGTCTTGATTTAACATCTGAGCATCATCTTAAATGTTAAGTTTCACTTCCCTGTACTTCCTCTTACCCAAACTCCCCCCACCCCCATTAGTGACCTACCCCATGGTACCATAACCCTAAGCCAATCCCAGAAGGACACGACCCCTGGACTCTGGAAAGCCCATGGTGCCATCGATCTAAGCCAATCCCAAGCTAGTCCCACCCGCCCATCTCTGACGCAAGCACCCCCAGCCTCTCCCATAGCGCCACAGCTCCAGCCCCAAACCCCTACCTCACAAAAGCTGAGCCCCGAACATCTGGGGGCCTCTCTCCTCTTTATAGAGGGATGGCCTTTATTTGTTAGCTTTGACAAATAAACCTTGGTGTGGATCTCTGCTTGGTCTCCGCCCTTCATTTCTCACTCGACCATCTCAGTTTCCTATCACTGGGGAATGACATTGTTTACACTGTTAGATGCACATATGAATAAAGGCCAAATGAATCCACTATTACTTGTAATTCTAATGCACCAAAAATATTAAAAAAAGAGAAAAAAGATACCCTGCTTTGTCTAGGGGAAGCTCACCTCCTACTCAGGTCTAGGGGACTTTATCATTTACCTTCCTCATTCTTTTCAAAGGAATGCAAAACAACACTCCGAAGATCATAGTGTTTACTTTATTTAAATTCTGAGGTTAAAAATATTTCCAAATGGTGTAGCAGATGTTATAAAGGAATATGTTTTGGGATACAAAAATTTCTCACCCCTACTGTGTTGGTGAGGTTTGGTATTTGATGTGCTTTTGAGTAATTCTTTGGCAGATAAGATTGAAATGGGCTCCTGACTCGCCATCCCATAAGGCCACTCAAGTGAGGATTCATTGATTAAAGTGCATTCCAATTGAAGCCTTCCTGGGAAGGCTGAGTGTCACCCTGCAGTCACCAGAGGCAGAGCACCTCCAGATGACACTCATTCATAAAGTTCTAGAAAAGTTTTTTTCCTCTCCCCCCCCCATCAGAGATGTTTCTCCTACAATTTAAAGTTATACTTTATTATTTTAAAAAAGTGCTTAAGAGAGAAAAGGGAATTAATGAATCCAGTCTTCCGTTTCCTTGGAAGAACTGCAATTAAATGAAGAAAGCTTCCACTGAGAGGCACCTAGTTTTGTAAACGTGAAGAGTTGTCTCTATGGTCTTTGTGAGAGTCCTTGGTTCTAAGCACCACCAAGGGCTTCTCTCTGCTTTACTTCCCAATACCTCAGAGCCAAGCTGGTTTCTTGGTCTAAAGAATTCTCACAGGTAGAACCATCCAGGTGGACTTTTACAAATGCAACTCATAAACCACCTGACCACATCGCACCATCTAATCACATGAAACAGACTCTGAAATTTCATCTCCAAGTGAAATTTCCTCTTATCTGGGCCTGGAGTGGCTTCACCACCTTAGGTGACAGCTGAAAATCTTCAGAAGCACCATCTCCTTTGAGTTTTATTATGTGGTTTTTCATTTCTACTTTCCAAACCCCATGGAGTTTTTCAGTTCCAGATTCTTAAGAATTTCTTTGCCTGTTCTTGGTCCAGTCTACCTGGAGTCCATTGTGCTGTAGAGTCCACTCAGATGTGGAGGAGCACATTTTATTGCAAACACGCTTCCTTGTTGGTGAATGAGTGTGTCTGGTGGTTGGTGTATCTCTTGGGCGAAGGTGATTGTGGCTTCAGTGGTAGGTGAACAAGGCGGCTCGTATCATTACTAAATATGATCATTATCCCCAGAGCTGAGCTTTCCCAAGAGACTGCTATTAAAACAAACAAACAAACAAAAAAAGTAATCTGGGATCCCAGGGGATTTCTAGTGTCACTCAGTCTAGCTGGGGCTGCCATCTCTGGCAGTAATTCATCAATTGTCATTTGCATTAAAAAATAAAAATTACCCCAACCTTCAAACCTCAGTAAAGTTGGGAACTGTTTAAAAGAATAAAGCCATTTGTAAAAGTCACACTTAAATAGGCCAAGACGTTCTCTAGCGACACGGTGCACAGCACACTGGAGCCTGAACGGTGAACTCATGTACTACCAAGGTCCATTCAGCACAAAAAATAAATATGCTAATGAAACCAAAGAGGAAGGGCCACTGGGCACTCGGTCGCCTCAGTCCAGGGCAAAGGCCAGTTTCCACACAAGGGCAGTCAATGCTGGAGGGGGGTCGCGCCAAGGTCAGGCCCAGCTCTCTGGGAGGAGTAACTCTGGTTGGCTTCACAAGGGCCAGGTGGTCTTTGAAGGTGGAATTGGTCCTCTGCTGTGACAAGTGACAGATATTTAGAATGGAACTCAGATGAACGGCCGCAGGTCCCTCATAGGCCCCAAACACATCAGCTACTCAATGAAAGGTGGTTTTTGTTGCAGACTGTAGTGTGGATACCAGTTGAAGGCCATCAGCCAGGCCAGTCTCCAAGGCATCTTGGGAAAGCCAAACACTCAAAATAAGACCCTCAGACTGTACTGGGGCTCTTGATAGCTTCTTTGTCGCAGGAACAAGATGACATTGGATGATTCTTTGTGAAGGGGTAGATGGGTTCAAAGGAAGGATAATCTGCTCCTGAGTAATCTCAGGCCATGGGCATGCCTGTGAGGACACAGGCTAGGGCATCTCTGGGGGTCTTGCCATTTTCTGTCTCAGTGCTGAGCAGTCAGGCCCCGGTGAGGAAGAGACAAGAGTACCTGGTGGCTTTCTGCCCGACAGGCTGCTCTGAGACCCAGAATACAAAGGGCCCAGCTCTCTGAAAAAGCTGTTGGCCATTCTTGCACTCCTTACTGGCAAGTGCCCACTCCTGTTTCAAGGCCCAAGTCCATGTCAGAGGCTACGTCCCCTTACTCATGGCCCCTGAGCATCCTTTTTGCTAGTGATATGATTGAGGCCGTGGTGCATGGTGGGCCTGGAGTCCTTGTCCCATTCTCAGTCCCTCCAAATCAATCAGTCCAGGGTTCTGAGAGTTGGTCTGACTGGCCTTGGGTCCCAAGGCCAGCTTGGAGCAACGGCTGGGCCCCGCACTCAGATCCTCAGTCAACCTCTATGGTGCTTCTTTGCTCACCCTTGGCCATTTTGTCTGATGTCCTGTGGAAGTACCTGGGACCTGACTGCAGGTGACTGGCTTCACATAGGACACAAAGGCCATCGAAGTAGAGCTGTCTGAGCTGGGAGAAGGGCCACAGAGAACATGAAGAGCATTTTACTCTTGTCCAGGAAAAGGAAACAGGACCCCTTGCGTCCAGGGGCGATGTTTCCTGGGTGTCAGTGCAGGCTGAACAGAAGGAAGTGACAAGTGGGGTATTGGGAATCTGGCAGGTGGGGACGAGGGACCAAGAATAATTTATGTCTCTGCTTCCTTTGTATGGCTGTTTCCTCTGTTACTTTGGTTCTTAAGTTACCAAAGAATTTTGCTAAGAAGGCCCCAGTGTTTGAGAGTGGTCTTGCCTGGGTTCTGCTCCTTAGTAAGCCGTGCCTGCAGCGAGCCCTGAAGGCCAAAGCATAGTTCCGCACCTTGGGCATGGTGTCAATTTCAGCCAGCATTTGGGCTTTGGAGGTCCTGAGAAGGGTGGGCTTTGTGTCCTGGATTATCTTCAGTTGATTCTTAGGGTGATATTTTGAGCTATGAGTGGAGGGCTTTGCCTGGGAATGGGGTCACCCAGACAGAGGGCCAGGAGGAAAAATTCACCTCAGAGGCCCCTACCAAGTTGCTGAGTACTGGAGCAGCCCCAGACTCACTGGGGCATTAAGGGACTGCCACGTGACAGGATGCACCCCCAACCCCTGTGCCTCAACTTGCATGGTGGCCGCATGGCCTCCTTTTCCTGGGAGTCCTCAAGGGCCTCAGAGCCTGAGGACTCACAGGGTGTGGCTAGGGTCACCAGGAAGCCTGGCTGAGTGCAGGGTGGAACAAAGCAGGACATCCCTCTCCAGGGGTGGGAATCAGGGCCACAGGGGTCTTATGAAACTCTCCACAGGAGGCTGCAATCAGCAGCGCACCTAGGAGAAGCTGGCGGTCTCCTGAGGTTTCCACCTTTGGCAGGATGTCCCTTTGGGTGTAAGGACAGCTGGGAAATGTCATCAATGGAAATGTCACTTGAGCCCTTAGGAGCCATGGGGCTAAAAGGGACAGGTGCATGGTACAGAGGACACAGTGCCCCGAGAAGCTCAGCTTCTGAGCAGCGGCAGTGCAGGGCTTCTTCCAGAGCAGCAAGCCAGTGAGCCTGGGCACAGCCATTTTTTTTTCTTTCTTCTTTTTCTTTTTTTTTCCTTTTTTCTTTTTTTGGGTATATGTGTGTGTGTGTGCTTCATGTGGCAGGAGAGGAAATGTAGTGTTTCCTGTGGATGAAGTGAAGTTACCGTCCAGGTGTTTCATGCTACGGGAAATCGCTTCCATCATAGATCACAGGCCGGTCAACTGCCAAGTGGTAAAATACTTTTTTTGAGACAAACCTAAAGAAACAGAAATGGAAAAGGGAGGGTGTTACCCTGAGAGCTGAAAACTTGAGGGGAGTAGAGGCTCAATGGGGGCCTCCGGTGTGACCCTTGTTGGGTGTGGGTGTTGGATTTCCCCAGGGAGACCAATATTCCAGAGAACACAGCCTCTCCCAGGCCCCTGGGCCCCTTTCCTGCTTGTCTTACAGGTTTCTCACCCTGCAAAAGGTCAGATGGCCTTGGAATGTCACCTTGGTTGTCTTGGGGAATAATGTCCTTTCTGCCACAGGCTATGAACCTTTCACCCTCAGGGCTGCCTGGGGGAGTAGATGGACCAGGTGCTAGAGGAGGCATGAGGCTAGGCGCCATGGGCCTCATTCCACCTCGGCATGCAGATCCTATGCCACCTTTGCTTTTAAAAGCTCAAGTAAGTCTCTGAGATGATTCGGGGGGCCCTGGCCACAGTTCACCACAGCACTGTTGCCTCCTCCAGCGATCACTGGGAGCCTGCTTGGGGCTGTGTTTTGCCCTTGGCTGCCTCTCCTTGGCTTCTCCATCAATCCACCGGGAAGCTGGGGAGGCACTGACAGTTCTTGCTGCCATAGCTCAGAGAAACTGGGTGCAAGTAGGGCCCACAGTGGGAAGAGCGAGTGCTAACTGCTGCCCCATCCTGCTGCCAGGAGGGGCCGTGGCTAGTGACCACTTAGGTGGGGGCTCTAAAGGCAGCTCTTTGAACATGCTGGGCATACCTTGAAGTCCTGCTGATTCGGGGGAGTTCATTTCCCCAGGGGAGTGCAGGGAAGGGTCAGAAAAGGGGTGATGTGGGAAGGCCATCCTTTGGCCTGTCCTGTAGTGGACATCCTTGGCTACAGCCCTGGGAGTTCAGGCCCTGGTGGTGGCAAGTGAGTAGCACAGTTTTTCTTGAGTGCCCTGTTTAGTTATTATGCTCAAAATCAAGTGCCCATGTGGGGAGGGAGGTGGCCATAGCCCAGGCCCCTGCTGTAATCTTTACTGCGTCCCATAGACGCCCCAGGTTGCTCCTGTGACAAGGCCCAGGGGCTTCACCTTGCAGTCTTAGATCTGTTTCTCTCAAGCTTTCTTCTCCTACCTCCTGTTCCTCTCTTTCTCCTTCACGCATTTGTCTGGCCTCTCCACTGTATTTCCTGAGCCCCTTCTTTGGGCATTAAGAGTCCAGTGACATGAGCAGAGGCAGTCCCCGTGGCATGGAAATTCTGTGGGGCTGGAGGAAATTGCTGGCATGTGGTGACACACTGTAAGTGTCAAAAATCCTAACAGTCACTGGAACAGAGCCCTGTTAACAAGGACCTGCTGACAGCCAGGTATGGTGCACATCTGTAATCCCAGCAACTCGGGAGACTGAGGCAGGAGGATCACAACAAGTTCTAGGCCAGCCTTGGGAACTTAGCCAGACCCTGTCCCCAAATAAAAGACAAAAAGGCATGGGGATGTGGTTCAGTGGTGTAAAGCATCCCTGGGTTCAATTCCTAGTACCCCCCCCCCCAAAAAAAAAAAACCCCCAAACAAATGAAAAACTAATGACAGAAGAATGATCTAATCAATCGTTAGTGTTCACACTGTGGCCGAGAAGAGGAGGCAGAGAGGCATGAGAGACCAGGGGCCTCCATCTGGATGCTGGCGAAGGAGGCCCTACCTGGAAAAGGTGTTGTCGAACACCAGCATGTAGATGCCGGGCGTGCGGACCTTCAGCTGGCCCTGGATGTTCTCCTTGTGGGAATTGCATCTGGTCGTGGGAATGAGGACCTGGGGGGAAAAATAGATGGAAAAACACATCAGAGGCTGAGAACCTCATGGCTGCTCTGGGGGGATCTTTCATTTCGGGGGAGGAGGCTGAGTGCTCTGTTGGGGGTCACAGGAGGAGTGGTAGGGTGCTATCTGCACACTCTGAGTTTGGTGACACTTGTGGCAGGGGGGCTGTATGAGTGTTATCTGGACCCAAAAGCTGGCTCCCCGGCCTCCCTGACTACAGCCAGCGCCAGCTCCCTGGGTTTACTTTAGGTGACATCCATGTGTCCAGCTGTCTCCTGTTGGTCCCGAGGCTGCCCTTGGTCTCACAGGATGGGCCAAGACCTCTTTCCAGATGATGATGCCTTAGGCACTTGATGAAGCTGCTGGCCCCTCTCCTAGCTGAGCCTGGCTGGCCCACGTGCCCCAGCACCCTTTCATCTTTCCAAATGAGGCCCTGAGTTTCCTGTTTACTTTCTGTTTTCTCTGGGAATGACAAATTTGTCCCAGGAAACATTTATTTCCTCGGGCCATTTTCCAAGGGTCTTGTTTTCAGAGACCAAATTTGAGCGGATGGTGTGTGCTGGCCAGGGCCAGGCCGGGGACCTCAGATGGCCAGTCTCTCCCACCAGGGCAGGACCTTCTACCTGCTGGCCAGTTAAGACAGGGGCCCCACTTTAAAACCACAGTTATTGTAGGAAATAAAACAAAATCAACCAAAAATTTAATTAAATATTTTATCTTCTTTTCTTTCCTCTTTTTCTTTTTTTTTTTTAACCCCAAGAAGTGACAAGCACCTAGAGGATCTTGTCTTATGAAATGTCCCAAATCTTAGGAATACCGACACTTAAATGTGCACCAGAATCTCTATAGACCACAGTGGCATCTTCACACTTTAAGTTCCTAATGTGACAAACTACCTCAGAAGTGACCATTTTTATTCTTTAAAAAATTAAATGTATCTTTTTCAGCTATTCAATCTTCTTTATGTTCAGTTTTTACTTTTTCCTATTAATCATTTTTAACCTACACAAAAATGATCAAATCCAAAATAATTATAAAAATGAGATGGCTTTTCAACTCAAACTTGAAAATGGCTGCATATTTCTCAAAGTCCCACATGTTGATCAGAAGTTCCCAAAGTGAAGTAAATTCCTGCCCAACGCTCTGTCCTCAAGGATCTTGGGGTTTAATGGAGATGACAGACAAAAATCACATGGAGTTCTGGTGGAGTCGGTGCCACAGGAAGACTGGGCAGGGCTGCCCGACCCAGCCTGGTAGGAGGGAGAGGAGGCAGAATGGTAGGGAAGACTGGCCAGAAGAGGTGACACTGAACTTGGACAAGTCAGAATCCAAGTTATACAAAGGATTTTGTCTGGCTACAATAGAATTAATTTGTTGGGAGCTGAGAATGAATCATTGCTTTGAATTACGTAACCCTGGACACTGAGATGCCTCTCCTGGGAATCCTTCAGTGAAGGCGCTGAGGGAACCAACCATTTGCAGGTGACTCCTGTTGATAAGGAGAATTCCATGCCTGTTATGGAATTTACTAGTTCAAAAGCCTCAAATTCAAATTCCAGCTGCCTGGAGGTAGAAGAGATGGGCGCAAATTGATAAGCCCCAATACTAAGCTGTTTTGCTCAGACTTCATCCTGTTTACCCAAGAAGCCTTTTCCCAGTGAATCCCTTTGATTTTTAAAATCTATAAAATAAAACGTGGAGCCTCGTGTGTTGTTGAATCAGACCCTATTAGGGCTGATTTACCCACTGAGTCCGGCTTCGTCTATTTCTGCTTGTTTGTCTTTATTTCCCTTATTTCTTATATTTCTGATCCAACTCATCGCCCTGTCTGGGGAACAGTTCAACAGTCCTGCACATTTGGGATATTAAACCAGAAATCAAAAGTACATCTCTGGAAAATTCTAAAATATTTAGAAACTAAATTAGAAATTTAAATGTATGGGTCAAGGAGAAATCAGAAGGGAAAACCACAAGGCCTGGAAGGAGGGTGTGCAGGGTGTTCCTGATGCGAGGGTGTGTCTGTGCAGACTGGGGGCCGATGGGGGTGAGAGGGCAGGTGGGCTTAGATGAGTCCGGAGGAGACAGAGAAGCATGCAGCAGCCATATTAGGTAGGACTGCTGTGTGCAGGCTCTGGGGCACCCTGTTCTGCATGGTATCTTATTCAGTTCCATTCTTGTTCTGTAGTATTCCATTTCCACGAGGGACTCAGAATCCTGGGAGGCTGAGGGGTTGAGTTCTTCTGTGGTCCCTAACCTCACATTTCCGAGCCTGGCTAAGACACTCCTCCAGGCATGTGTGGAAGGAGTTGCTCAGGCAGAGGCCGTCTTGCTGTCTGTCACCTGCGGACCCCCATGTGTCCTGTCCTGAACTTCACACTTACAGCCTTCAGAACAGAGCCACGTGGAGAGCTCGTCCTCTCAAGAGGATCTGGTAAAGCAGATACCACATGTTCCTTCAAATAATGCTCTTCATATCTTTCAAACATTCTATTCCACAGAATTTTCATTCATTTAGCTGCTATTTTCCCATTGTTACTTTAAATAAATTTAAAAAATATCAAAAAGTCTGGTGGAAATTAACAAGGGCTCTGGGATCCAAGAACACACACACACTGCTCTGGATTGGGTAGGGGGCCAGGGTCTCCTTGGTGTGACCCTGAGAGGGCAGGTCTCTGCTATGTTAAGCTCTGGGGTGTCTCCCACCACCCTCAGCACCTGGGTGGCTGTGTCTGATGGAGGTGGCATGTCTGTGGAGCAGCCCAAGTTGTTTTCTCCACCTCTTGGTGGGCTCCAGTGCCCTGGGGCCCTGGTACAAAGCAAGGGCTCTACACTAAGTGAAAGAAGATGATCACAAAAAGCAGGTACTGCGTGATTCCATTCACACAGTGTGTCTGGAATCAGCACATTCATAGAGTAGAGAGTAGTGGTAGATGGAGGATGGGAAGTGACTGTTAATGGCACAGGATGTCTTTTTGGGATGACAAAAATGATGCAAGGTAGAGAGGAGTGAGGGCTGCACAACTCTGAATACACCGAACCCACTGCATGGTGTACTTCACGTGGTGAATTACATGGTACGTGAATTATGTCTCGATTGACAGGGCTTGTTTCTTTTCTTCAGTCCCAGCTTCCCCTCTGCCTCCCTCTGAGGCCCTAAGCTTGCCATCAAGCTTTCTGGCCAAAGATGGGTCCTCTGCCTAGAGAAAGGCCAGGGCCTGGGTCCTGTTCTCTGCTTTGTCCCAGGCTTCAGGCCAATGGTCTGCACACTGGGGGCCTCAAGTCCTTGGTTCACTGTTTATTTTATCAGGGACCATGACCTTAATGGAGAAGGCTGCTCGGGAGAGAGGGTGGCACAGGGTAGGGCGTGTCTATGGGTGCCACTGGGGATGGCTGTCCTGTGAGGCTCCGTTCACCTGCACTCTCCTCTTACGCTCCTCACCCTCTCTCACCTTGCCTTATAACTACTGCTCCTGGTTTCTTCCAGTGTGGCCTTCCGCATCAGCCCAGGGGTATCACTCCCTGGTCATCATTCCTTTTTTTTTTTGGGGGGGGGGGGTTGTTGATGGACCTTTATTTTATTCATTTATTTTTATATGTGGTGCTAAGAATCGCACCCAGTGCCTCACACATGCTAGGCAAGTGCTCTACCACTGAGCCACAACCCCCTGGTCATCATTCTTGAGGCTGGGATAGGTTCCCTTCCAGCTGCACCCTCTGCACCCATTGACCTCCATCATGACACTCCACCTGGAATCACAGGTATTATTTTCCAGGCCTTCTCTCCCCCGGCACTGTGAGCTCCGAGGGCAGATCTCATGCTGTCCCTTCAGCTTTTATCCCCAATGGGCCCTAGAGCTTAGTATACAGTAGAAGCTCAATAACTGCTTGTCTATAGATTCCAAGTACCTAGTGCAGGTCCTTGTCTTCACACCTGTGCAATCGAGTACTGCAATCTGCACAGTCCCTGTCATTTCCCATAAGGACAAGACTAGTGAAGGGGGCACACAGGGAGTCCCTGGGATAGATACCAAGGGTGCATGCCTGGAAAAGGCTGCTCTGGGATAACACTTTTCAGGGGGACCTCTGGTAGAGATCACAGCCATCCCATGGCTGGCTGGTGACAGTGAGCCTGTGAAGTCCAGAAGTACCTGAGCACTAGTATATGAGCTCTTGTGCCCCCTGGTGTCCACTGTGGGGAAAGAGTGGTTGCCAGAACCCCAGGAAGGCCACCCAGAGCTCAAGCTCACTGCCCAGGGACAGGAGGACTTGGTGGGTAAGTGAATGAGCAGGGGAGAGGCCTATGGCTCAGTCATGTGGGGGCAGGTGGGACAGCCAAGGTCTAGACACCTGATCTGCCACCTGATCCTCCCTGCTGACATTCCTCAGGGTCTAGCCTGGGTGGCGCCTGGTGGGCAGTGAAGACACTTTGGTAAGCCCTTGACAGGTGTAGGTCCTTCATGAGAAGCTGACAGGCACACCGGCCACACTGCTATTGATCCACTATGGCCCTGGAGAGACTGGACTCTCAGCAGTGCTGAATCTGGGGTTGTATGGAAAAGCCAGAGGCCAAGGTGCCAGGAGTAGCCCTCCAAGTGGAGGTGCCCTCTGCTCAGGGAGGAAGAGCCCCAAAGCAAGGCTGTGGCACTGGCTGTAAGCCCCAGAGGAAGTGAGGGACAGAGCAGTTTAAAGAAGGAACACAAGATCCCAGTAAACAAGGCTATCTTGAGGGGGTGGAATTACATTTTAAGAGTGAGTTTGGGGCTGGGGTTGTGGCTCAGTGGTAGAGTGCTTGCCTAGCACATGTGAGGCACTGGGTTCCATCCTCAGCACCACATAAAAATAAATAAAGGCACTGTGTCCATCTACAACTAAGAAAATAGTATTAAAAAAATCCATGAGTTTGTAGAGAATGGAAAGGGCCAAGCAATTCCACAACGAGGAGACTCCAACACAGCAGAGACGGCGAAGAGCAGACGTTCACCCCTCTGTAGACACTGGAACCAGAACAGAGGTGGTTGTGTACCCCACTGTGCCCCAGCCTGCTTCTCTGCTCTCTGCCTTCCTCATCCTCACAGAGCCCCTCGGTGCTCAGGGAACCAGATACTCGAGGGACATTATTGCAGAGATTTCACAGAGTTATGGCGTCATGTGACTTCAAGCTGCTCGTCCCCATCTTGATCCTTGCTGTTTTTGCAAAATATAGACATCAGCTTTCTGCCCTGGTCCAGAGCAGCTGACTGCTCCACCATCCCTCCCATGACCCTCCGCTACCCTCCATGCCCTCCCTCTGCAGAGCTGCAGTGGGATTCAGACCCCAGATGTGGGATTCTCTCTTCCTCACCCCATACTGGATCAGCCATTCCTGGAGCCCCGATGCCCTCTGCCCCTGTGCTCTGGATTCTACCCATCCTTTCTGCTGTGGCTCCAGCCCCTTTATCTGTACCAGTGGTTCTCAACCTGAGCTCTTTACTGGAATCCCACAGGAAAGGCTGGGAGATTCTGATTTAGTGATATGGCCTCAGGGTTTTAGTTCTCCAGATGTTTCTAACATTGCCGCCCAAGGTGAGGACCACAGTCCCTACAGTGTCAACATTCCCTGCCTAGAATGTGTAGGAGTTCATGAACTGGCATGTGTCACCAATTCTTAGCCCCACCTCCAAGTGATAAACTGGGGCTGTCTTTACTGCTATCCTAGCAGATGAGATGCAGAATACCCTATGCTAATAACCAGAGCAGAGAGTTCACACCTTCCAAGGTGACCCATTCCTGCTTTTGCACAAGTCTGTGAGAAAATCATCCTCCAAACTGAGTCCTATAGGGAGGGGCTGGGGTCGTGGCTCAGTGGCAGAGCTCTTGCCTAGCATGTGTGAGGCACTGGGTTCGATCCTCAGCACTGCATAAAAAAATAAATAAAATAAAGGTATTGTGACCATCTATAACTAAAAAATATTTTTTTTTTTAAAAAATTGTGTCCTACATCTGTGTTCTCCCTAAGTTTCACCTACTGATTTATCCTAAGGTCAAAATGGATCTGTCAGGCATAGGAGTGACCCTGAGACATTTGAAGAGCATTCTTCTGAGCTTCTGGGTCTTTTCTTCCCCAAGCTGGATAAGCCCCAGGTGCTTTGCCTGCTCTGTATGACATAACCTAGAACATTCCGGATAAGGCCTGCTCAAAGAGAGCAGAGCCTTCTCTGGGAGAGGGCTGCCCTGGCATGTTGGTATGTACATGAGGCCCCCAGGCAGGAGCCCAGCCTACCTTGCACTGGTCCAGTGGTGTGTCCTCTGCCTCTCGGAAGACCACGCTGAAGGAGATGCTCTTGGGATCAGAGGAGAAGACCCAACTGATGGTGAGGCCTGCCTCGGTCACAGTGATGGGGATCAGGCTGTAGGTACTGGATCTCACAAACAGCTCCCTGTTACCCTCCCCAAAGTTGGCAATCTCTTCCACTGTGAGTGGTAATTTGATCCTGAAATAAAAATGCAGAGATGGACCTGATCCACTGGCAAAGTGTTTGTGTCCACTGGCCAGGATATCTGTGGCTCAGAGATGGACAAGCCTTCGGTACCCTTGAAAATTATGGGATGCACAGCTTTCCCTGAGTGCTCACTACACTCCTGGCACAGTTTCAGGCACTTGGGTCATAGCGCCAAAATATACAGATGACAGTCCTTGCCCATGTGAAGCGGAGAGAACACATGACCTTCTCTGTGCCACTCATGGACAGTGTGTGAGTGACGAGGTCTGTTTTCCATCACCTTCTTGAAGCTGCCTGCTGCCCGGCTGTCCACTGCCTCTCTGCCCTTTCTCGTTCCACCTCCCTGGCTCCTGGTTTCACCTCAGTAGTGCATGCCTCCCCGCTCCCTCAGTCCCTCCTCTCAGAGGAGGGCCCCTGTAGGAATGCACGTGGGCACCTGCCCTCCTGTCCCACACCAGTATCCCATCTGGTCGGATGGTTGGAGGGCTTGGAGATTGCTGAGGCTGTGCCCCTGGTTCTGCCTCGTACTGGCTGGGGGAGCCTCTCCCAGGAGTGGGGAGGGCTTGCTGAGGGAGCTGTTCTGCTTTGGGGCCCTCTGCAGGACTCTGTGACCTGGGTGAGGAGCTGAGGGGCTGGCTCACTTCAGATCTGTTGCAGAGCTCTTCCTCATCTTATGGCTGGCGAGGGACCACATCAGAAGATGACCTTGACATGATCAGGGAATCTCCTGCTCCTCCAGCTTTGAGGCCTCCCAGGCTGGGTGGGCCCCACTCTTGCACAGGGCAGCTCCAGAGGCTCAATGTTAGTGCAGGATCATGGAGACGGGCCTTCTGGGCAGAAGTCCACTTACAGTGATGTGCCCTTCAGCAAGTCACTCACTCTCCAAGCCTCATTTCCTCCATTGTGAAGTCGGGCCCCTGCCCTCTGCCCCTTGACCTCACCTCAGGTGTTATCACAATGACAAAGAGGGAAAGGCATGTTTGTTCCCATTTTACAAATGAGGAAACTAAGGTTTATAAATATTAAGAAACTTAAGTTGGGTTCACACAGGTCGGATCCAAAGCCATTATTTTTCTATTATACCAGACTGCATTCTGTGGAGAAAATAAATGACGGATCCCTTTAACACAGGTAATAAAGTTAAAGCCCAGACAGGCTAGGCAACTTGTCTAAGAGTGCATAGCAAGTAATGACCCTGAGAGATCAAGCTGCCTCCAAAGCCCTGGAGATAAATGGAATAACTCTCCAAAGCTATGCCAAGGAGAAGAGAAACCAATGATTAATAAAACCAAATGCTGTAAAGAACAGCTCTAATTACTCACCATTGTGAGAATTTAATCAATATAATACTTCTCCATGTATTAATTTAAGCTTATTTCTAATAAAGCGGTTGTACAATATTTACAATTTTCAAGAATCTAAGAGAGAATGTATGTGTATGGGGAAGGAGCCATTTTGGGAAGGAGTCTTTTCTCAGAATGTGGAAATCCTATCACATTACTAAGTAAAAAGCATGCCCCATTGATGCTGGGTCACCTTCTAATCTCATGTTCCAGAACTCTCCTTGGTACCAGCTGGACTGGGTCTTGTCTCTTTCTAGACACCATCTACTTTGCAAGAAGGACAATATTCCATCTCTTCAAAGGAGGTGCCCATAAAGACAAACCAAGGATTTGTTTCCATCTATGCTCAAATCCAACCTTTTTTTTTTCTTAAAATTTTTTTTAGTTGTTCATGACCCTTTCCTCTCTCCCTCCCTCCTTCCTTCCTTTCTTCCTTCCTTCTTTCGTTCTATGTGGTGTTGAGAATTGAACCCAGTGCCTCACACATGCTAGGCAAGTGCTCTACCACTGAGCTATAGCCCCAGTCCCAAATCCAATCTTAAGAAGCCCACTGTCTACCAGAATCAAATAAAAGTGTCAATTCTACTGAATGACTGCAGGAATTCTAGCTTACATGCACCAAAGGTACCAACAACTTCATTGTGTTTGGAGATAACCCAACCTTTCAGATTCTCTTACAATGTGGGTACAAGAGAAAGAGGCAAAAATAAATAAATAAATAAATTCCAGGGTAGCATCTTCTACTTGTATTTTATTCACAGGTCTCAGCTGGGTTACTCTTTGTATTCATTTTATACTGTTCTCTGTAAGGATAGGTTTTTGGGTTCTGTGTATTCTCATTATTTCCTAACCTTTTGACAAGATTTTTTAAGTAGCTGTTATCAAAATGCCTCCATAACAATCTAAATATTCTTGAAATAATGAAAAAAATTATACTAAAGAAATGGAAGATAAAAAAGAGAAGCTGCTAGATCTGAACAACACAGAGAAAAGAGACGAGGAAACAAGCAAACAAAAAACCTCAGAGCTTCAAGGACCTGCGAGACCATAACAAACTATCTACTATTCGTATTGCTGGAGTTCCAAATGGAGAGGAAGAGACTGGACATTTGAACATATTCAAGGAAGTGCTGCCTACAATCTTCTCAAATTTGGTCAAAGACAAAAAAGATTTAAGGACTAAACATAGCCCAGTAGGAAAAACACAAAAGAAATTCAGGCTCAAACCTATCCCATTTAAACTTCTAAAAAATCTTAGGAGCAGCCAGAGAAAAAAGTGTGTTATCTTTGGGGGGGGGGGGATACCAATTTGATTGACAGGACATTTCTCAGCTTCACTGAAGCCAAAGGAGGGGCACCACATTTTCAAGTGCTGAAAGAAAAGTACTATTAACTGTAAATTCTGTATCTGGCAAAACTACCTTTGGGTAGCTTGTTGAATCCAGCAGGACATTAAAAGAATTATACACCGTGGCCAAGTGGGATTTCACTCAGGTAAGCAAGATTGGTTCAGTGTTTGAAAATCCACCAGTGTAATTCCTCATTATTAGCCAGCAAAGGAAGAAAGAGCCTAGGACCATGTCAACTGAGACGCGCAAATCATTTGGCAAAATTCATCACTATTCATGAAAGCCCACGTCCTCTTTAACTGCTTCTCATTGACATTGTTGTGAGTAGCATGCAAGAAACATTCTGGTAGCTTTACCTCTGCATGTCTAATCATTATTTCTTGGAATAAATTCCCTGACATAGGCTTACTGGGTCAAAGGGAATACAGAATACTTGAGCTGTGGGTACATCTTGCAGCCAAGGTGCTCTCCAGAAAGGATGAAGCAGACTTTTCCTACTCTCCCAACACCAGCAGATTGTGAGCAGCTATTTAATTCTTCATGTTGGTCTGTCCCATGATTCAAGACAGTCTTTGTTCAAGAATGTTCTGAGGATCACCTGAGAATTGGCTGGATGTGTTATCTGTTTTCTAATGACCACATCTAATCCTTCAGGAGACTGTGTCTTCAGAATAGATCCAGAACCTGACCTTGTCTCTGCCTTCTGCCACCACCTGGTCCAGGGATCTGGATTTCTCCAGCACCCTCCTAACAGGCCTCCAGACTCTGCTTTTCACATGGCAAAGATTGATTCCTTTTCAAACATAAATTAGAATAAGTCACTCTTCTGCTCTAAAGCTAATTGTTGGGCTCCTGTTTCTCTTATATTAGAAGCCAAAGCCTTTACAAAGGCTGGCAAGGTCCTACGTGACATGGACCTCTGTTCCCTTTCTGATTCCACCTCCCTCACGTTCTCTGCACCAGCTGCACTGGCCCTTTCTGGGCACCCTGATCATGCTAGGTGTCACCATCTTGGGGCTTCACATGGACCGCTCCCTCCATGGGAAATGCTGTTCCCTTGGAGAGGACATTGGACTTATTTCAAGTCTTATCTTCTTAGTTTCCCTCTATGTAAGATCTCAGATTTCTTTCTCTTTTATTTTATTCTCTGTTCATTTTTTTTCCGTTGCAAGCATGACCTTGTAATATAAAATATAATATTTTCTTATTTTTACCATTTACTATCTGTCAATTTCTGGTGAAATACAAACACCACAGGGGCAGGGGTCTTTGACTGTCTGTACACAGATGTACTCACAGCACCCGGCATGTAATAATGAATTAATATTAGGCAATAAATGACTAAGTCTTGGGCTGGGGAGTGTAGCTCGGTGGCAGAGTGCTTGCCTAACATGTGTGAGGCACAGGATTCGATCCTCAGCACCACATTAAAAAACAAAACAAAACAAAACAAACAAACAAATAAACAAAAACCAAAACAACAAATACAATAAAGGCATTCTGTCCATCTACAACTACAAAAAATTTAAAAAAATAAATGAGTCTGTTCACTGTTATGCAGTCCTTGCACTCAAGACTGGAGAAATGATGTTGGGGGAAAATATTGCACTACAGAGTTTAAAATGCTCTGAAAATAAGATTTCAAATATTTATGCCAAAAAACCCCTGTAAGTATATATGCACATAAAAAAGACTGGAAGGCTACTGTGAAAATTATTTGAGCAAAAATGGAGTCACTTCTGTCCATTCATAAAGGAATACATCAATAAATCCAGAAGGCTGTGAAGAAGGGGAATCTCATATTAACGGCTGATAACAAGATCACAAAAGACACTGCCAGAATCTTTTCCAAAGTCCACTGCCACCTTACACAGAAAATACCTCTGCAAAAAATGTCTGTCCATCCTAGGATTGACTTCACCTTTGTCAATGATCATTATACCCAAGGGCTATGATTTCATGATAACTTGTGCAATCCCCTACTTCTGTCTTTAAAAAACATCCCCTTGTTTCAATTTCCCTGAACACACACACAGGTCACTAAGGCCTTGCATATACCCATTGCAAAGTTACTCCCAAAGAAACTTATTAATGTTTGGAGAATGTGTTTGCCATAAAGAACATGGGTATGGGGCGGGAAGTGACCCTAAAGGGGCACAGGGAACTTGCAGAGTGAGAGAACTAGTCTGTATCTTAACCATAATGGTGATTGCACTGTGTTATTTGTCAAAATCTAACCACTATATGCTATAAAACATGAATCTTTGCGCGCGCGCGCGCACACACACACACAATTATG